AATAATTTAAGAATTTCGTGAACTAGTATATAGCATTCTCCGACACTTTGAAGAAAACTTCAATCGTGATTTCCCGAAACCTGCCGAAAGTTACATGCAACGATCTTTTATCCAGGCGACGATACAACATTTAGCTAAAATATGCATCTAAATAAATTATAATTGTTATTATTTTCGCAGTTGAAGTATATGCCAGGCGAGTAACGGTTAAATACATACATATGTAAGTATACCTAAATTAGCACGTTGAGCTTGTATAATTATCTCTCTCTAATGCATTAATTCCATACACCAACGCCCGACGCAGTTATGTCTTTATTTAATAACGGCTCTATGACAAAATATTCAAGAAATATATTCTAAGATTTTTATTTACTTCATTTCGTACATTAATATTGACCTAATTTTTTTTATAAATACTTGGAATAAATATTTAATAAAAAACTATTTCACTAAAGCTTAAACAACTTTTAGTTGCTTGGAGCTAATTTTGGAAAGCTTCATGAAATATTTTCATAGACGGTAAATGCAATCCTGGGTGCATCGTTAATGAGCTGAAAAACCAAAACAAATTGAATGTGTGGAATGGAGCCTTTTGAAATGGCCTTTACAAACGGCAACGGAATGCCTTCCATTTAGCATATTTCCGGGTTAAACCTTCAGAAAGTTACAAAAAAACAACATTATTTTCTATTTTTATTGTTATATATTTTTGAAATAAAAATACTCCACCTTGTACACCAGAAAATTTCTTTAAACCATCTTGCGCAGCAGTTTGTTTATATTATCTTCGCGGTTACCGAAATCACCAACCTCAGCGTAGGGGCCACAGTAAGTTGGAGGCTTTCTTGAAGTGGGATCCAGCAGTGAATATTTCGTGCGCCAAATAATCAACGCACTGAATATCGCGCGCTTTGCTCAATTTGCGTTCGATCACAAAGTTGTGAGAGTTTGGGACACGTTGATGGTTGTGCTTGACAATTCCACGTTTGTAGATTAATTCAGGAACTGATTTAAGATTTGGATAGCCCCATGTAATACAAGGTTCGGCAACCCGTAGCATATTAATGGTTGCCTTGTTCAATTCGATGAACTAACCGTTGTTAATGTCGAGAAGACGGAACCACAGTAAAACTTTACGCACTTTTGGTGCAACTTTGTTGATACCGCAGATACAGATCACAAAAGTCATTCTGCGGGCACGTAGAATAGGCCGCGTTTCTTTGCCAGACGGCGCTACTTCATCTCACGGCATCCATCACGGAGATATTTTGCTTGATATTTCTCAGCATGCATCAAGTTTTCACCCTGGCGGAGTGCAATCACAGCAGAGCGCTTTAGTTTACGCTTGATCAGGGTAGCACGTTTGCTGACCTGCTTCTTGTTTAACTTAAGCTTCGACTCGGGGACAGCAGGCAGCTTCCTGGAAGGTAGTTTTCCCTTTTCTTCGGGCTTCTTACCGACCGTGGTGGCAGTCATCTTATCTTATCACTTAGCACGTTAAAAAGGCGAAAAAAAAGTTCGCCAAATATTTGGAGTACATCTTAAATAACGCCACTCGATTTATAACATTTCTATTAAACACAATTTAATTTAATTAATTACTTTTTTAATACATAGATATGCTGCAACCAGGCACTTACTTTCCCAAATTCCATCTTGCTTATCGGCATAATTTTCCAAATGTGCCTGAGCTGCTACTTCATACTAATAACTTCATTTTCCAACTGCGCCTTCTTTGTTGCCTCAACATATCCTAAAAAGACATAAAATTTACATTAGGCAATAGAAATCGTAAAAATTAGCAAATAACACGATTGAGAGAATACAAAGGTTGCGAGAATCGTTCTTTGCATGACGTCACTTTGGTGCAACTTGTTTACATTTTCCTTGCAACATTTTTTCTTCTTCTTCCATTCTTGCTCACGTTTTGGCATTTCTCTCTCGCAATTGCACCAGTGTGACGTCACACAAAAGTTATTCTCAAAAATCCTCTCTGATCGGCGCAATCTTGTATTCTATCATTCTTGAGCAAATAAAATACTAGCTTCATTTTGTTTTGTTGTCAAATTTCTGAGAAATGTGAATTCACCTTGATGCAATACAGAAAGAACAAGGACCAGGGATGTAATTTTAAGTATTCATTGGCAATGCGCAGAGCGTTCCGAGTAGCAAAACTAATTTGTATCAAATATAACATTAAACGGTGGTTCTAATACATTTTTTAATATTATTAATCAGAGTACATACATTATATGGTATTTATTTCAAAAATTAA